CTAGTGTAGAAAGCAACTCAAACTCGGCCAGTTTGTATTTGCTATCCTCTTCTGAGGGCGGCGGTTCTTTCCGTTTTATAGAACCAGTCTTTTTAAGCTTGCCCTTTACTTTCGCAGACGCCATTTCCACGGTAATTATAATATAAAAACAATCCTGTGTTATAATTTAACCTCCATCATAACATCTTCATCATGTCCATAGCATTTCAACGTCCAAAAGCCGCTCTTCCTGCGAGAGTTCTATCACTTGTCAAAACATGCCTCCTCGCAAAATATACCTAATTGGAGCCTTCGAGCTATTCATAGAAGGCGAATCACCGCCTGTAATGAGTGTAAAAATAGCAGTGTGATTAAGCAAACTACGTGCTTAATGCGCCCGGCTAACGTTTGCAGCAAAATATGAAAATCACATTTACAACAGGCCAGGCCAGGTAGTATACAACTCATGTAACTAGTTCACCGTATTAAAATGGAATCTAATACGATATTTTGCTGTTCCTTCTCTCCCCTCGATACTAAGCGTCACAACATGGACTTGAAATCAGCTCTTTTCCCACCGTCAAGTGACCGGTCTTCTACCTTGACAGTGTCATTCTGCCTGGGACGCTGTCAACTGTGCAACTGGTTAAGAGTGTCGCTCGGCTGTCACCAGCGGCTTGACCTACTTTGTGTCGTCGGGGAGGTTCATGGAACAGCCCATAATACGAGCGTTAGTTTTGGATATATTTACAGTGCAATATTCTTTTTTGTTTGCATAAACAGACACAAAATGAAATTTTGATTGACTGAAAATATTATAACTTATTTGATGAATGTTAAAAATATAATTAAGAAACTTTACCTTTTGAAGGATATAGGCGAAACGAAAGACAAATTACGGAATTACATCTGCATTTAGACTCTGCAGTACGTCAGAAATTGCCGTTCGGGGGAAAATACTTCAATAAGTTGCGTATGATTACATGAAGGCAAGTATTATATCAGAACTCTCATGACAAGAATCTTAGAGAACACCCTATCTTACTCGAGATATAGTTTTATTCGGTAAAGCTACGTGTTTGTGGTGGTCACAGCTCGATGATAAAAAGATCCCAAAGTAGGAAAGGCAATGGCAAGCGCCGCGGCAGGGAGCAAATGGTATTGTATTACCGACCCGTGTATTCACTGGTATTGGTATTATGATAAGTGTCCGTGACGCTCTTTGTGCGTAGGAGTGATTCACGTTAAGTGGTAAATACAAAACTTTTGTTAACTCGCCTTACTCGATAGAAAACGGGGAAACAGAAGTTACCACTTCACGAGCACATACTAATACGTTTATTTTCAGAATTTGGAATCGGCTTTCGAATTAAAGTCAAAGAAATTCAATAGTTTTTGTGGTTTTAGAGGAACATCCATACACCTGCATAGTTTTATCTGCCCTTGGGCAAATTATCTTAAAGAAAACCCCCATTTTAATTTCTTACTTGTGTTTCATTGATCAGTTTGTCCCTGTATTTGGTTTTCATGTTTTATTTTATTACTAATTAAATAATTAAATGTGTTTTTGCCTGGTGTCCTATATTGTAGGCAGTGAGATAATTATAATGAAAAACAGTCAGACTCCACAGTTTCTCTTGCTTAGTCTGACAGCCATTATCACCTGCATCTTAAAAGTGTATTTTGACCAAAATTCTAAAATCTATTTTCCTTTCTTCTGTATGGTATCCTTCTATTACTATTGCAAGATTGTTAAATGGGAAACATGTTTTGACCCCCTTTCTAGGGTAATGGTCAACCCAGCATAATGGACAGTAATGTTGTAATGGACAGTCTACTGGCCACGGGGGAAGATCTCTCTCTTGACCGGCCAAATATTGACCAACTGAGGCAGGACAGGATGGACAGAAATAGGGCTGTCATGGAGGTAATGTTCTTTAGAGTTGTCAGGTATTTGGCAAGCAAATGATTTTTTTTTCTTTTTTGGCAAAAGAATTAATGGGGAAAGAGTGGGAATAGGTGTGAGACAAATAAAGAAAGTTTCGTGAACCAACAATTTTAGACTGTGACCTCAAAGTCCAACATCTTCCCCTCTGATCATATTTATTTCATTTGTTATATTGCATCTCAGCCTTTGACATAACTTCTGTTAAAGCCTAAGCTTAACTCATGTTAACAAGTAATATCTAATGATGCAGATGTGAAGTAGCAATATTAAATAACCTGTCAATATAATTTCAGGCACTTGATCCACAGGCTGCAAAAACTACCATACCACAGGTAGGTGTTGAGGACAGATGTACGCATGCCCTTACTAGGCTGAAGATTGGCTAAAATATTGACTTTTCTTTTCAATATTGTCAACCCTTATGTTTAATTTGATAAAGACAATTAAAACAAATTGTATGAGGAGAAATTGTGAAAGTCCCGTTTTCTACTTTCTGCTTATACAAAGTTTCCAGTCATTATCTGTGATTTTGTAATTTATATAGCAGTGATATATTTTATCTAATAATAATAATAATAATAATAATAATAATAATAATAATAATAATAATATATTTATTTTAAGTCTAAATTCCAAATCTGTTCAGTTGACTTAACAATAAGTGCAGTTATATGGGGTAAATACATATAAAACAGTTTGGCGCCTGGCCATTACGATCTGGGTTGACAATCTCGCCCCCCTGGGGAGGATATACTTTCAGGTGGACAATTTAGGTGTAGCTGAGCATGCCACGGTGTATCCAGATTGTATAATATACCTTTGGGCCCTTTTCACATTGTGCATTGCACATAATTTATATAACAGCTATATATATATTTTATTTCAGGTGGACAATCTAAGCCCAGCCGAGCATGCCGCGGTGTGTATTCAGTCTCACTATAGAGGACACCTGGGCAGGAAAAAATACACGGAACTGCTGTATCAGCAGTTTGAAAAGGTACTGAGACAGAGAGTATATGTTATACCTTTGGGCCCTTTTTACATAGTGTATTACACAGTGGGCTGTTAAGTCAGTCTCCTTGAGTATTTTGATACAGATATGTACAATGCACGGTGTGAAAAAGGTTAAAATAAAGAGAACATTCACAGGGACAGTTCACAAATAGATATATTTTTTGACCTAGTACTGAATCCGCTCTTGCTGAATGCAATCAGATTACTATGTCTCTTCCTGGCATTGAGTATAACAGTCTGTGTTATTTTTCTACTCTACAGGAAGAAGCACTGAGGTATGAAAAGATGCAGAAGCAGTTAGAAGAAGGGGAGTTGTTGGTTGCAAAGTAAGTAGGTTTACGGTAATGGCTCAATCTTTTCAATCGAGAAAATTGTATTTTTTAAGCGATAAATTCTTTAAATATATATATTCCTATTGAGTGGTGGGAACAGAATTGAAAAGCAAACTACCTAATAGTTCTCTTCTGTAAGGTTAAACTTTAAAGCACCAAAATGCTATATAGAAATGTAGTTTTTATGATTCCATAATTATATATCTAAAAAATTAATTGTTTTTCCCCACTGAAATAATCAAGCCATTACTGTAGTAAAACTAACTGAGTGATTTGTCACTGAAATTAAAATTTGTCATATTTGGGTCATGTGAAAACGATTGAGGAAAGAGTTTGATGTCCAACACAAAAAATCCAGACATTGTTTATCTTCCAAACTCAAACCACACACAACTGTGAGTTAATCCATAATTGTAATGTTTTGGGTCTTGATTTCAACAACTGCCATGGTACAAGTGACAGTTATCAATAATGTTTAGGGGACTGCCAATTGTGCTTTGTCTTGGTACTTGGTCACACCTAACACACTCTTGTTACACTTTCTCACACATTATATCATATCTTTACTCGATCACACATTTGGTTTAGCTAAACAACAAACACAATGTATATAGATAGTCTTTCAAGGTTTGAAACTTTTTGTTCATGCTTTGTGTTGAGCTCTTGGTTTCTGAGATGGTATTTAAACTTCTTTTTTTTTTTCTTACCCAACTCTACATGTAATAATGTTTATATGATAAACCGAATTTGTAGAGGTATTTCAGAAAAAAGTGGAAGAACTATAGATACCTGTTATGACAAGCAGTGTCAAGCACATAGAAGAATAAAAGCTCACAAATGAAGCTGTCACAGTATCCTAAACCAACACACAGCACCATAAAATTTGACACTTGATGACACTTCATAGTACAATTATAACAGTTCCTAAAAGGCATTGAAAAAGATGTTTGTTTTAATGTTTATAACATTAAATTTTGATAGGAATGTGGTCAAACCCCTGTAATGGAGGGTCAAATTATAGTGGGTTATACATTAAAAACATTTATTCTCTTTACAAATGAGTTAAGTTTCTACCAGTTCTTATGGCCTTTGATAAGAAAAAAAAAGCAGGGACTCATAAAAGGTAGACCAAAAGATGGCGCTGGGTGCATTATTTTAATCAGATGGACAAGGTTGATCTGCTCGTAGAAGATGTAGATTTGTAGCAAGTGGGTACTTGTAGTGATTAATGTATTATTAGGTACATAATGTCAGTATTGGTTGTGTAGTTTAAATCATGATATAACTATTCAACATTTAGAAATCTTTTTATCTGTGTTCTGTAAATTTGTAGAACAATATTGGGACTTACTTAGCTAATTCTGAAATCTGTTCAATATTCAGAAACATTTTACTGTGTCAGTGCAATTTTAGCGCCTTGTATTAGAGAACAGCATGTTAGCACAATATATTGGGTTTGTGATGGCTGAAAATGTGTTCAATATTCTATAGCCCTTTCTCTATCATATATGTGTCATGCCAAAATTAGTCTGTGATATCTAAAAAAGTCAATATTCTGAAAGCCTCTAAAGTACCATTACTCCATCTGTAGCTATGTCTAAGAAGGTTGAAATATTAGTAGTCTAAGAGCTAGCTGTTGGGTATATGATATATATCCATATTGTTCAATATTCGTGAACATTTTTCTCAATCATCTGATAGTCTGTCGGTATGTTTGTGTGAAGATTGGACTACACATTATCAGCCACCGGGTCAATATGTGATAAAATACATGGTTAGCAGTTGGCCATTTGCCCAGTGTTTAAATGGAGGAAAGATAGATCTAGCCAGAATTCTCCAAATTCTCGAATGTGACTAACTGACACATTGAGTGTTATTTCATTTGAAAGTTACCATTATATAAATATTAGATTTATCATTATGTCCCACTCTTTTTAACCCATGGTGATAATAAGCAAAAAAAAAAAAATCCCTCTTTTGAATTGAGATATGAGGAAAGAACTTGCCAACCTGTGCTTGCTACCTGATTTTTACATAGATATTTGAATGTCATTT